TATAATTAATTATAATTAATTAAATTAATTATAATTAATTAAGTTAATTATAATAATTTAATTAGAACTAAATGTAATTAATTATAATAATTATAATTAATTAAAAATATAACTGTAATTAATCAAAATTAATTAAAACAATTATAATTAAAATTAATTAAAATTATTTTTAATTAAAAAAGTTAATCCCTTTCTCTCCTTCTTTGTTTGGGATTTACGGGATGTGGCCATGGAAGCGCGTGAGAAGGAGAAAGTTATCTCCACGGCCACTGAGCTCCCATTGTTGCTTGCGATCAAAATGTTGTTACTCCCGATCCGACGAGAAGGTAACGTCGTCCAGAGAGCAAAGTCGAACAACAACGACGGCCAGGAAAGTGCTCGGGAGGGAGGAGATTACTGTTTGGTATCGGATTTACAGCGGGAGTTAAGTCGGATGTACGCTAAATCCAGCCAAACGATTTTGGTGCGTGCGTTAAATCCCGGCGATGGGTAAATCCCAGATTTAAGGACTTACGGCTTAAATCCCGAATTTACTAAATCCCTCGGTTCGGCGGATTTCGGGATTTGGCCGAAGAAGATCCCGGAAGGTAGAAAGTTACATTCACCGTCAGCGTGTTCCCGTCGTTGCTGCTTCCGATCACAATGTGGTAACTTCCGATCGGTCCAGAAGGGAAAGTCGGCGGAAGAGCAAAGTCCAAAAGCAACGAACGAGCCGAGGAAGCTTGTGTATGGAAGAAAGTTACCTTTCGAACAAGCGAGCTAGCGTCGCTGCTTCCGATTCCACAGGAAGGAGGGGTCGTCGAATGGAACGAAGTCGAACGGCGGTGACAGAGCCGAAGAAGCAACCGAAATGGTGAAAGTTATCTTCGCAAGCGAGCAAGCTCCTTTCGTCGCTTCCAATCGAATGTCGTAGCTTCGCAAATGGGAGACGTAGAAGGGACAAATTATTGCATCCAGTCACCTGCAGAGTCTGTCTACAGTAAAGCACAGCTATGCTACAGTACCTGCACTTTTACTGTGGTGCGGGCAAATTATTGCATCTGGTCACCTGACAGAGTGAACGGATCTCTCTCTGTCTACAGTAAAAGCGCAAGTACTGTAGCAGCTGATCCGAACCTCTGCTACAGTACATGCGCTTTTACTGTAGACAGAGAGAATCTCTCTGTCAGGTGACCGGATGCAATAATTTGCCGTGCTCGAGGGAGGAACGAGTAAGAGCTTTTGCCTCTTTTCCTCTCTTTTTAACGACATAAGGGTCGTGCGGAGGACGTGTGTGAGACGACGTCGACGAGTGCTAGGATCGTGGCCGCACGTCCGAATAGGTATGCGAAAAAAAAATTTATTTCGTTTCGGCTGTCGTATACAGATCAACAGGTTCCACATCACATAGTTGAAAGATATGCTAGTGTGGGAATACCAAGTGGTTGGTCAAGTCCTACCCGCTTAAGCTTTTAGGTTGAATATAAGTTTAACACCTTGTTTCTATATCATCCCCCCTCTTATTAATTTCTCAAAATAAATTGAGGTAGTGTTCTATTATAAGTAGAAAAAAATAGTGCTAACAGATTTATACGCTATTCATCTGTTCAATATCCAATCGGATTGTAAATATGGTTTGTAATTCTATTTCAAAGCCTTGATGTTATCCCTTTTTGATTGGTCATCTCCTTAAATAAAAGGAGAACAAAGAAAATGTACATGTTTCAAAATATTTTCACATCTCTCTTAAAAGTTGATTGAGAATTGCTTTAAGACTGTTTTTGCGATAATAAAATCAACCAACAAAAAATAGTGGGCTGTGGTTAAAAAAATAACTTGTACAAAGTCCTAACAGAGAAAAGTATAAATAGCCTCAAATGAAGCCAAGAGTGTTTAGTCACAGTTTGGAGTGAAATTATTTCGTGCGGACACCGAACGTCGTCTAGAGACCAACCAAAATGTGTCACGTAACTCCTGCTCGGTACCGCGGCTTAGTGCCGCTCGGTACGTTGGCGTATTCTGATTGGTCTCTATACGGTGAATTACATTCGGCGTCCGCCCAGAATAATTTCTCTGGTTCGCAACCCACTTCGCCTGCAATGCTTCATAAACGTTTGACTTAATTTCCGCATTCTCGACTAATCAAACGTGGCCTAAAATCGTACTTTTAAGAAATTAAGTCCTAATATTTCATTCCATATGTAAGTACTCATAGCCAACCAAACAAGAAGATATTCAAACAAATGAGAAGCTTAAACAGACAAAGCCGGAAAATTTATCCACGAAATTTCGTTGATCGCAACCTACAAGAACCAAGAGACGTTACTCTTTAAAATAAGAAAGAGGTTAAGCACTTACTCCATGAGTGAATCTCCCACTGCAAATCGCTCACGGTTGCCTGCAACCAAATAAAACAATATAAACCTCAGATTCGCTTGAGAAAATCTCCCCTACATGATACAATGATCGTCTCCCCGAACATAACAAGAACCCATGAACCAAGTTTCGCGGACCCAAAACAAACTAGAAAATTTACATACATACCACTTTATTGAATGTTATTTATATATCTAATCCTCAAAATATTAATATTATATACCTATCACTTATATACAACTTTAATACATCTTTCAGCACAAAAAAAAACTAGATAAATTTACATACATACCATTTTATTGAATGTTATTTACATATCTAACCCTCAAAACATTAATATTACATATCTATCACTTATATACAACTTTAATAGCAAATATATCACTCCAATAATTCATTTCTAGCATTCATATAATCATATAAGCTTTAATATTTCATTCATTGCACCTAAATTTATTTTATTGGTGGTAGTTATGTAATATTAATATTTTGAATGTTAAATATATAAATAGGATGATATAAAGTGTAAATTTCCCAAGAATTAAACTATTTACAGAAGCCAACATACCGAAGCATCGAGCTCGATTCCACCCTTAATGAATAATGATCTCTCTTCCGCTGCGAGAAACGACGGTGACCTTCATCTCGCCTGGATCTGAAGCAGAGGCTACCTCGTTCAACGAGAAATTATATTTTAAAATGGGTGTTATATAATAATTATTCAGATATGGAACTGTGGAGGATTAAGAGATCATTAATTATTCAGTGCTGTTCTCGCCGTGAATCTCCATATTTAATATAGATTTTAATGGCGATATGGCCTAAGCTTTCTTGACGCAAATTGGAAAGTTATGGCGAGCTAACACCAGCAGAATTAATTATATATTGTACTTCTCTCACATATTCATATAATATGAAAAATAAAACTAATTTATGATATTCACTGCTTAATCTTCGTACTCAGGTGATGATTTTATATAATTGAGAGAACATTTGAGCTGAATATTTTAATTTAAATTTAATAAAGCAATATAATATATGATTAATTAATTATAATATATATGATACTTTATTTTAAAGTCTTTGTAATAAATTTTAATTTTTTATCTATTTTGAAAGGGGTGTTATATAATAATTTATATTTTACTCATATTAAAATAAATTTAAAATTCATTAAAAATATAACAAAGCAAAACAAA